TCATTTGGAATGGTACTGAGATGACGGGAAGTAAAATTAAAAAAATAATTTAAAAAAAAGAAATCTGCACTTTTACATGAACTCTTCAACTGCAACTGGCCAAACCTGTTGTTTGTTCTGGTTTTAAAATCTTTCTCCAACAGCAAGTGTTAGTTAGGAGTGTGCTGTTAGGCTGAGCTGACACATAAACACCTCCGTGTCTGGGTTGTCAATATTTATCAGGCGCTCCCTAATGAGCACTTAACAACAGAGTCAGTCTCTGAAGTTTATCAGTTCCCTAAATCGCATTTGCCAGAACTTTGACATTTAAAACTATTCTGGGAAGGGCAAATTAGAAATCAATGATGTGCTCGTCAGCCCAGTATCAATGCAGCCCCAAGAAATGCAGATCAGCTATTGAGGGGAAAAAAAAAAGCTAAAATTGCCTTTAGGGAGACTACAGAAAAATGCACAAACCATGTTTCAAAGACTGAAACATCGAGCTACTTTAAGTCTCACTAAGCAGCACGATGCTGGGTAACTGGTCAAAGAGCCTCTGAACTCTGCGGTGCGTCGGGGCAGCACTGGAGTGCGGTCAATCCGCCAGAAATGCTGCACCATCCCAAGGACTGTTCCGAGTGCTTCCTAAAAATAAGATTTAGAAACAAAGTCCAACCCTCATTTCAGGGAATACCGATGGAATAGCAACTCAAATTAATAGTCAGAGGCAGAATTTAAGTTCAGGTGCTGCAGTGTTTACGCACAGGTGAGCTTTTACTAAGAGTGCAGCAACACTCACAATTCCAAATGCTTGTTTCTTCGTATCATTCAATTTTAGACTGTTTAATCAATGCCAGTGTGATTAATGCAGTTATTAGAACGCTTGGAATAAAAATCATATGGAATAAACCACGTTTGTACATCGCAAGACTATTCTGATAATTAGTTGGATCACCTGTAAAACAGAGACCAACATGATTTTCTTAACTGTCACCGGGTTAAGCTACAAAATTTCTTTCAGGACTGAAAAATGAGACGATTTTTTTCTGCTGTACTACACAGCATAGCTTGAAGCTACGCTTTGAAAGTTAGCAAAAGTCTGTTAATGAAAAAAAAAAGTCTAGTGATAAAAGTAAATGAAATTTTGAACACTACACATACAGACACAGACAGCAGTATAGATATTCACACGAAATATATTCCCCAGAGATCTATTTGAGGATTTTTTAAGTGGCAGTCATTTGGTTCAGGGTACGTGTGTGCAAACTAAGTGTGTGTGTTCAAACATGAGTTTGTAAGTAAATAAGCATTGTGCCTTCGACCCCCGAGCGAAAGCAAAGGGTGACCAGGTGATTACTTCATCCCACTTGACTCAAACCAGCTTTCCATCACGTATTTTGAGAAAGGAATGTTGCAGGTGCAAAGCTCTGAATTTGGAACGTACAATAATTAGGAAAATGTTCAATACCAACCCACCCTCTTTATTAAGTAATTTCTTCAAGTATTTTTTAATAGTGCAAAATATTGTTTTGCATTAGTACAGTAACTATGGGAATTCACAGAAAAAAAAAAATCTTAAAAGATTTCCAAAGTCAAACAAAAAAATTTTTAATACTGTATTTTTAGCAAGAACATTTTTAACAAAGAATGTGTACTTTAACTTAATATGGTACAACAGAGAAACCATACTTAAAAGTTTCCATTATCTAACACTCTACTGCATATTCATTTTTTCATCTTAAAAGACCAAAAGCCAAGCTGAACTGAGCATAAAAAAAAGCATCAATTATAATCCTCGTATTACGTCAGCTATTGGGGTTTTAGCTCACACTTCTGAGTTGGTCATCTAATGAAAGGACAATTTTTACATCATTCTTTTAAAAAATGTACACACATTTCTTTTTAAAACGTAATATATATCGAGTATCTGCTTCAGTAAACAAAGCTTAATTTATAAACACAATCGAAACAGCTCCATGTTGGACAGTTTCAGTGATAAACTGGACTTGTATGATGTACAGCCAGTGAGGACCTTTGTGGCTTAAAATCATTGTGCCATTGCTATGCTGTAATAGCTACCTCCTCCTCAGGAAAAAACAAAACAAAACAAAACAAAAGAAAAGTTCTTTTTGCTCAGGAAAAAAAAAAACAACCAAACAAAAAAAAAGTTCTTTTTTGGGGGGAAGGGAGAATAATTCCTGTATGTGCTTAAAAATACTAAAACTCCTTTCTATCTCCGGGGACCTAAAAATGATCTGTTGCAACAGGCTTGGTTTGGTATGGAAAGCTTGTAAAAAGTCTCAATATTTCTTAATGACAATACGGCAGTTTTCGATGCAGCAACAGTAAATTGCTTGGAATTGTCCTTCAAGTTTCATGCTACAAATCCTGTTCTCAACACAGCACTGAAGGCATCAAAGGTTGGAAGGGACGTTTTTCCATGAACTATATAGTCTTCAAATAGTGATCATTAAACATTTTTCGACAATAGATGTTTCCTTCAGTACATAATTGTAGGTTTGATGTACGTTCTGTTTTCTGGAGGAAAAAAAAAGAGAAGAAAAAAGGTCAATTACACAGTTACACATTCTATAATTAATTGAAACGTGGGTCGTCTTCTTTCTTTGTGGACTTTTTTTTCCTCCAGCCAAATTATCAGATCTACAAGTGATATGGACTATCCATCCCATGAGTGTGCTTTATGATGGAAAAAGAGATGCCAGAGGGCAAAGCCCTTGAGAGGTGAAACGGGCTGGCCTCCGTGCCCCGATCACCTTCCAACCCGGGTACGGCACTCAGCTGGGATAAAATCCCACCACTCTTGTTTCTGACGCTGCTGGTCAGCCAGCAGCTGCTGAGTAGGGGCTATAAAGATTGTGATTTGGATTTTTCTTCCTTTAAGACATTTGCTTTTTAATTGAACGCTCATTTTGCTTCTTTTTTTTTTTCAGAAGGCAGCATGTATGGCATGTCTCCCCAGGACAGACAGAGTAACACGGCATCGGCTTTACAACACACCACTATTACCTGCACAAAACCTTCCAGGGAACATGCACTGCACTAAAACACGGAATAGAAGTACATCACTATCTCTTCCTGGAAAACTGTTCTTTTGCTCAGAAACCGCCACGTTTCTTTTAAAATTATTTTTCTTTATTTAAGGGAACAAGTAGAAAGCCCCTTATTTCCTTCATAGAAATATTCCTGGTTACAGTACCTCTCAACTGTGATTTTTCACATTAAGCAGCTTCAAGGCCAGCGAAAAAATAAATATTAAAATGCCCACAGAAAGCAAAGCTAACAAGAATCCATATTCTTGCTCATTATACAATGAATCATGAATTCACCCGGCTAAGCCCGCAAGTACTGATCCTGAAGATGATAGCAAAATGATAATATTGAGAAGCATTTTGTATAACGTTGACATCCATCCCATTACTGTTTTACATATGCCAATACCGAACGCTCACACGGAAAGAACAAGTATTGACCTGCTGACTGACACTGATCCTTGGAGCAATCTCAAAGTTTGCCACATTTCAATTTCAAAATGCATTTCAGCTATAATACGAGTGATTTATCATTTAGCAGTAGCTGTCAAAGTAACCTCCTAGATAAAACAAAAACATCTGGAACCATAAACAGAGGAGAGCAGTAGCTGAATTTTAATCCAAATCCGACATGTTCACTTCATTAGGAACAGGAAACAGCTAATTAGTAATTGAGTGTTTCATGGGTTTAAGGAGGCTCAGACTCTCCAAACAGAGATGATTTAATACGTATTTTGGACGTAAACGAGAATAAAGATCGGAAAAGCCAGGGACATCACACCTCCAGAGGAATGTCTGGGAGCACGAGAACCTCCAAAGTGACTAAAATTAGTTTCAAGCGTTTGGCTGATTAAAATTATTGTCTTGAACTTGGTGGGGCAAATAGTAGCGGCCGGGGAGGAGGCAAGCAGAAATGCAGCTATTGAACACTGTGGGGTTTTTTGTTTGGTCTTTTTTTTCTCCTTTTTCTCCTTCTGGTGCCGAGGAAGTCGCACGTGGCTTCTTCCCAGAGCTGTAGGTGATGAGGCAGCCGCTGAGAGCGCCGGCAGGTTTGGCTGCCCTCCGAAAACCGTATGAATAGGGTGGATGATCTACTAAGGGGTATGGTTTAATGGGGATTAGGGACGGTTGGACTCGATGATCTCTAAGGTCTTTTCCAACCTACAAATCTATGAAATCTATGAATAGCCCTGACAGGCTGAAATTCAGTCTGAAAGGCTGGAATTCTGCCACAGCACGTGCCTCCTGAGCCAGCGACGCACCGGCTCTGCGTCCGGCACGGAAGCAGCCAAAGCTTCACGTGTCCCGGGCACCTCCCGCTCCTCCCTTTGGGGGGCCAGGCTCAGCAGCCAGACGTGCCAGGGTGCCACGGGTACTGGGGGGCATTTACAGACCACGGACACCGACGGGTTTGGAATCAGGTGCAGCTGGGAGTCAGCTGCACCCTCCGACACGTGTCGGGCGGCTGGTGTTTTGTACGAAGCACAACGGGCACCACGCGCGCGCGCGGTCACGGCGCTGCGTTTGCCCACGCGGGCTCTGCAAAGAGGAGGGGACGAATCCAGATGAGCGTTCCAGGGAAGAGGAGACTATCAAAAATAGGATCAATAAGGATCAGTAATACTATTTTTTTAAATTCTCAGTATTTTTATTGTATTTTAAAAATTATTTTTCAAACTAAGGTAAGAGGTGGTCATGGAGGGCACGGCAGGCTGACGGACTGACTGTTTGAACTTTGAAACAGGTTTCTATTTTTCCTTTCTAATCCCTTTATTCCTCAAGGGAAGTTCAATGGAGGTATCTGGAGTACCTGTAAGAGAGCAAGTAAATGCCAAAGCTCAAGCACAGTGCAGCCACCCAGGAGATATTATTGATCAGTAAACAGAAAGTGCATAGTTAAATATTTCCTTTTTTATAAAGCTCTCAATTATTCTCCAGAAATTAAAATACTTTTTTGTTGCTGTGCAATAAACTTAACTCCATGGCGTTAACAACGTCATACAGCAACCACCTATGAGGAATTAAAGTGTTGGGAGCATCTGTGCTACCACTTATACATGAAAGACAACGCGATGTTGTCAAATTTATCTTTTTGAAGAATACTCACCATCCCCTCAGCGCAGCTGACTGCGAGCTACACACCATTTTACAGCATTTTACTGTATTATATAGCAAAGATTTGAATAAATCTGTGTGCAATAAATGTATTCTTTTATTAGGTTTATCCCTTAATCAAATATTCATTTATGTGGGCTTCATTCTATTAAAAAATGAAATTATACAAAGGTGAGCAAAAGCGTAGATTTACAGTAGTTTAAAGCCTAATCTCATTCTCTAGGGGTAATATTGACAATATAAAAACTGTATAAATGATATTCCCTAACACTAAAATATGCTTATGAGCCCCCTGTGCATGTTACACTGCTTTACAACCTACGGTGAAATGCATGACTGGCTTAATAAGCAAGACATTTAGAAAGGATTTTTTTCCCCCTTCACAATGTATGAGCCAAGGAAAGATCTCCCATTTCCCAGTGAGCCAGAGCCCGCGTTAATAACTGTAACTTTCCCTCAGGATGGTGTTGCCATCCCCGAGTTGTTGGTCCAGGGTACACATTCATCTCTTGCACTCTCTTTTAGCAACAATATCATCGTTCTGCCTTTTTCTGTCAAGGTCTCAATACGTGTATAAAGGACAAATCCAAAAGCAATAATTATCATCTGCGTATCTATTCACTTTTTTTCTTTTTCTTTTCTTTTTTTCAGCCTACTCAGCATCTCTGATTTTTCTGAATCCTTTGTGAGGTTTTGTTTCTCGTATCTTTGTTTTAGGTCAGTAATTCAGCTGCGTTTCCATACAAGTACTTTGAAACAACACCTCCATGTGTACCCTCACAATCTGCCTACAGAAACGTGCCCCAGCAATGCTGGTGTGCAAACCCAGTCTGGGACGGGGAGCAACGCGATGCAGCCGACCAGTTGCGAGTAACCAACACAGCTACAGCTTGGGATTGTTCAGGCAACTTCAGCACGCTGTAAATGAGACATGGAAGTCATTGGAGGAAGGGAATTTGGGACCTGCTACATCATGAGAAAACAAGGATAAATTTGTTGTACCAGTAACCATGAATTGTTCGTGCAATTTGAAAAATAAAAGCCAGCACGCAGGTAGCAGAGATGAAATAATAAACTGAAAATCCCACTCTGCCAATTTAGATGGAGAAGCTGGAGAGCTGCTACCACAAAGGTGGCTGTGGTTCTGCGGCCAGAAGAGCAGCAGGAGGGACGAGGGCAGCCACGTGCCAGACCTGTGTGTTCTCAGAGGCTTTGCCCAGCTCCTGCTTTAGGGGCTGAATTAAAGATTCTCACGCGATACCGCAGGTATGCTGGACAGGAGTGGATCTCTCCACCCTTCCTGGGCTATGTAAACAGAGTCAGCAGTGCTGTTAGATCAGAGCCAAGCCAAGCTTTGGATGCAGCAACACGTGGAAAATACAACGCCGTAACAATAAATCTAACTTATGAAGCTGGGGCTAATGAGTTTGAATCAGTCTCTTCTTTTGCACAAAAAAAAAAAATAACCAGAGAACAGTTTCATGAGCTTCTACTGTAGGTGAAATCCCTCAAAAAACCCTCTCTCTGTAAACCTCTTGGCAAACAGGAATACTGAGTGGCCTGGAAGGAGACTGCATCCAGGCCCTGCTAGTGGGTAAGGACCACAGCAATTACGAAAACCACAGAAAACGATCCCTTTGCTACCATGAAAAAAACCTTTGCCCTGGCCTGCAGCCTCATGGTTTTGGACTAGTCATCCAGCCGAAGGGCAACAGTGAGTAAACCAACTTCTTTGCCCGCTTATTAGTTGTCCAGCAAAATTTTTCCCCTCCATTTATCTGTAAATATTTTCCAAACTAAGCAGCGAAAGAGAAAAAACACCGCCCCGTGAGCAGAGCATGGCTTCCTCTTGGCTCACGGAAGAACGCGGACAACACACGCTGCTTCCGAGAGCAGCACTACCAACGAAGTGCCGTGTGTGTTCTTTCCAGCCCCAGCTCTTCCATATCTGCTCTTTTCCACCCCTGCAGAGGTTGAACACTGCCTGAACCAACGACCAGCCCTCCTCTCCCTGCGGCCCCGCTCCCGTGGCCGGCAGGACCCCGGCTCCTCGCCCTGCTCCAGCGCTGCATGCACACGGAGGTGCTGCCTTTGGGGTTCTTCCTCACTTATTTTAGAATCATAGAATCATAGATCATTAGATCTAAGGAAGAAATGTTTCACTCTGAGAGTGGTGAGGCACTGGAACAGGTTGCCCAGAGAAGTTGTAGATGCCCCATCCCTGGAAGTGTTCCAGGCCAGGTTGGATGAGGCTTTGGGCAACCTGGTGTAGTGGAAGGTGTCTCTGCCCATGGCAGGGGGGTTGGAACTAGATGATCTTTGAGGTCCCTTCCAACCCAAACCGTTCTATGATTCTATGTTCACGGAATACAAGCTGTGCAGATGCTGGATTGCCGTTGTCCGTGTGAGTAGGCAGGGAGATAACACAGTGGTTCCTGCTTAGGAAATATTCAAGACTACTGGCACTGAGTTACTGAATAAATGTTTTAGCCCTTTGAAAGGATAGTATGGACCTTCACACACAACAGTCTGCTGGGAAAACCTTTCCCCACCTTTTTTTTCCAGCAAATCACAAAATCTCAGCTTCCTTCCTCATATGTGTGTGTGTGTGCATTTACAGAGAAAGATCCAGAAACAATCTGCGTACCAAAAGTCGAAGTAACACCAGGACCAAGATCGGTGCTGGTGCCATTTGGAACCAGTGAGCCGTGCAGTGGGCCAGCACGGCGATCTCACGGCTCGTTACTGCAGGGCCCTTCTCTTGCTCAGCACCTAACGAGATGGCTTTCGGCAGCGCGCGGCTGGTGTGTGCACCGGTACGGTGGCCAGGAATTGCACACCAACTTGGAAAGAGGTTTTCCAGAAACACTGCAAATATGGTACAGCACAAGGTAACTACTAGAGGTTCAATAATTCCGAGTATGCAGAGCAGGACACACACTAGGGACAGAGCACGGCTTGGACAAGAGGAAGGAGAAAAGGTCTAAGACTCAAACGAGAAAGACTGCGAAGAACTTGCACACGAGGAAAATACCAGGTCTCTGTTTAGATCAGTCTCAAGAGTTCTCATCACAGGGTTCTGGTCTTTTCTTAGGTAAAATTGTCAGTGCTTGAATATTTTTTGCAGTGAAAGCAAGGCCAAGCCAGCAGCGCTATAATTTATAAGATGTTGAATTTGTCTCTTACAATCGTAGAGTACTCTGAAATTCTGCAGCATGGTTGGCTTCAGAGGATTGCAGCACTTGGAGGCTTAATTTGATACTAACAAAGTAGTTAAACTTCTTAAAAACACTGCTCCTCTCCTTCCTGTCCCCCTTGTGCCTTTTTTACCATAGGCTGGATTTGAAAACTGACTGGTTGTATCAGAATATTGAAAAAATATCACCCAGTTTGCTAAATAATAAAACCCAAAATATGTTCCAAACTTCAACAGTCCCTCATTTTTGGCAAACAGATAGAAACAGAAATTTATTCATGGTAACTGAGAGGTTTTGTGCTAAATCTCTGCCAGGTTATTTCACAAACAAAAGCAGCAGCCCTGGGTCATCCTCCTGTTGCAGGAACAGTGAGCCACGTTTCCTTTGAACCATGTTTTCACCTCAGGAAAGTCTGTCTGCTGTGCTGCTGCCTCCTTCTTGAAGTCCAGAGTCTTCTACTTTTTGTGAATTGTTATCAAGTATGATGGTAACATCTATTTTTTAAAATTTTAAGATAACATTGCTTTGCTGATTGTTCCAATATCCCCTAACAATGAAATATAGTAATACAAAAGTTAACTAAGGTATAAACATGCAAAAGGAGAAGTCTCCCCGCGATCATAAAATGATGTTATTTTCTGTTCAGCAGTTCATGTTACTGCTGTTCATGCTAATTAATTAAAGGAGCTGTTGCTGTAATGTGCAAACAGGGAATCTGAGAAACTGAGAGGGCTTTTAGGTCTCGGAGTGAAGTTAAGTCAATCTGGGCGCGGGCAATCAAATGTAATGAAATCACTTGTCAGTGCTAAGCTTGCAAAAACTGTGAAGTTTGACTAGGGAGTAAAAGGATTATAATTAGATTTCCAATAGGATAATAACTAAATGGCAGAAAGCAGTAAAGAGAAAATATTACTTTGTTAGCTAATGGTGCTGCTGTTCGGTTTTGGTTTTTATCAGCACACTTGTAGTTGTGCTAATTTAATTTGCTTTTATCAGCAAAAATGCACTACTCGAATGGTACTTGAATGTCATTTGCAAAAATCATTGATCTGAAGGTGCACTTAATGACACCCAGTATGTTTATTTTATGTGAAACGGAGATTGGCTGATAAAATGGTTGATGCACTATCTCACTGGCCCTCAAGTGAGTTATGGGAGCACGACCAGAGGGGTATCTGTGCGCGTGCATCACCCTCCCCTGCACCACTCAGCCACCCAGGGGGCTTCACGACCACAGCAACTACTACTTTTCTATTTTGTCAGCTAAAAAGCTTCTCTCAGATCAAGCTATGCTGGACTAGAAGATCAGGTATACAGAGGATGGAGGCATTAGACTGTAAAGTTCAAAAAAGTTTGAAGTGTCGCCTGCACAAACCTTCTGTTCAATTGATATACAAGGCAAAGAGAAAATGAGTCAACTAAATGGGAAAGATTTATAACGCAGATCAGAATCCCAGTATACGAACAGCTTGTGTTAATAAAATCATTTTAAGAAATGAGCATAAAATATGATACGACTTAATCACTGTGAAAGGTGGCTGTGCAGTATTTTTGTAATTTTCCTTTAAACCGTCTTAAGGAGATACTGGCAGTGAAACTAATTGAATTTCAAAGGAAAGGCACCGTGTGAACGATAGATTTCTGTCCAGCAGAGCTATTGACAACAGAGAAAGAAAGGTCTGCATTGATGCTAAGGCTTTTTTCCGTGCAATAGAGAGAGATTTTGGAAGCCTGGAAACAGCTTTGTAGCAGAGACACGTGTTTTGACCCTTTCTCCTCCCAGGCCCCCAAAAACAAAGGCAGCAAATGAGGGGGGCAATGAGGGAGTGTGCTCAAATTGTTAACGACGGCACGGCAACAGTAGCTGTCAAGTACAAAAATTGTAATCAAAGGAAAAGAGAATAAAAAGAAGAATAAAAATGAAGGAGATGGTGCTACAGGACACAAACACTCCGAAATCAAAAGAATCTCTAAAGAGAGCTTTTCAGAAGCCTCTTTATCAGCTGAGGGTGCTCAGTGGAAGAACCACCTAAACTCATTGCACCTTTACACGTGAACAGGAGAACCGCACGGAAACTGTCAGAGAAGTCAGCGTACGCTGTCACGTCGTCATGACGTGGCATCATGGTCGTCATGGTGGCCACAAGAGACGCTTTGCCACTGAGGAGACAGGGCAGGTTTACAACTCCTGTCACCCAAGTCACTTTCTGCCTTCACAGAGGGACACCCAGCTCCTAGATACCGAGCACAGCGGATATCCAGTTCTCCCTGTTTTCAGGCTTTCGACCTGAACAAAAACTTTATGATCCAAAGGCTGTTAAAACTGCAGAATGACGTAGCTGGGATCAGATTAAAAAACATCTAAAAAACCAACCTGAAATAAAAATACTAAAATCATGGGGTTTTCTTGTATATCCATAGACTACGGGAAGGGTAAGAAAGTTGTCTCAATTCCTTCTAGTAAGTAAACGGTGGTTGGAAGTGGCTATGCATCACTTTCCCCACAGTTATTTACAACTGGTTTCGATGAGAAGACACACGTGAGCCAACTGTAACTGCTCTTCTTCAACTGGAAATGGAAATTAACTTCCTTTTTTCACTAGATTCTGTCCAGATGCACCTTTGACTCTCAGAATCTCTTTAGAAAAGCACTGCGCACTCAGCAGGTATCATAAACAGATCAGAAACATTAGGAATATTTTGCTTGTCAAATTTAAATACCCGTGTCCCAAGTGCTTATCCAATATTTTGCCTATTTCTGGCAGCAATGATTCTCAAACTGCAATATTTAGAGCACAATTCTAATCACGTGTACATATATATATACACATCTCATACGTGTATATACACATTACAGTACAGCTGCGATCTCCTTCTTTGCAATACACAGCATATGAACCTAAAATCACAAAAAGAGACAGCAGTAAAAATATCTGAAAGCTTTCCTGTAGAGATGTCAGACGGACGACAGATGTGCACCAGAGGTGCGCAGAGTCAAGCCTTCAACAGCTGAGAAATGCTGGGACTTATGTTAGTCTCTCCAACCGTACTGCAGTCCTGCTGCTGTCTATGCAGAAGGAAGGGGACTGTCTCTAGTTCCTTCAGCACACGCTATTTTTGCAGACAACCATCACAGGATTCCGTAGGGAGTGGAAGGGCTCCAAGAAGCAGCAGTTCTCCAAGAACAGGCAGCCGTCTCCGGGCTGCTAGAGCAGCCCGTGCAGAACTGAACGGGGCGTAATGAACACGGCACGGGATTGAAAGGAGGAAAAGGTTTTCTAGAAAACCAACACTACAATACTGGACTTTCTCCAAAGTCAAGAATTTCTATGTTCAAGGTGCTGGGACCAAATTTTATCACAGGTGACTATGGATTTTCTGAGTGTCTCAAACAGGCTTCCAACGGTAACGGAAATAACGACGGAGATCTCTGCAGCTCAGCTCCCCTGAATGATGATGACACAACTTCACAGGCCTACAGCCAGACTGCATCTACTCCTCTCTGGGAAGCACTCAGACCATGCAGGAATGTTGTGTATTTACAAACAGCCACCCAACAGCGAGGAGAATGGAGCACACTCATAACATGAACGTGCCTTTACCACCTACAGTACATTTTATGTATTTTTTCAAAACACCTATGATCAGAGGTAAAATATTTTTTAAAGATAAATAATTTGTAAAATCACTTTTGAACTAAGCACTTATATCTGATACCTAGATATGAGTCTCCCACATGTCTATTTAAACAAATTTAACTTCTGGTCTCATAAAGAACTGATCCTACAAAAGTTTTCTGTGTTGAACAGGAAAACAAAATGAAGTTGTGTAATCTACATTTATCTTAAAGCAGGAAAAACAGAGACAAGAACTGTTCTGCATTTCCTTTAATTTTTAATATGGCTCACGATAAACAGGTATGTGATGGGATGTGGTACATACTGCACCTTGCATTGCTGCACTGTCATGTTGGGTTCCGTTGTGTTCTATTTCCATATCTGGGATTCCAGCATCTGAAAGATGTGACATCACAGATTAATGCATTCCTCTCTGTCCTTCTCTCATGCATCTTAAGAAAAATATTTACAGCAAACTAGGGTGATCTCCAAGTTACACAGTCTTACGTACAACATTTGGTCTTCATAGAATTTTCAGTGGTAAATTGTTTCCAAAATGCGCAAACACGACTGGCCTCACACTGAATTATTTTTAACATGCTTTGCATTTGTCTGATGATCAGATAATAACCAACACATGATACTAATATGTCTGTCAAATGGAGAATGAGGGCATCTGACATATGAAAAACCAAAGTCAAAATCAAACTGTGATAATATTGAGCTACACAGACTCTCCTAGCACACACCTGCGAAGCACAGAATTAAGGAATACAGCCTTAATTACGTCTCTGTGCACGTACCAGTGTGTGTGAGTGCATGTTACAGACAAGGACCGTGCAAACTGCACGGAAAAGACTCGGCTCAGGATGTTGTAAGCACATGTTATCACGTGTCATCACCCAAAACAAAATTACATACGTGATATTACGTGAAACATTTCCAGATTTCTGAGAAGAGCTTTCCAAAATGGATTGTGCTCTTTTTTTTCCAAGTTGAGAAAGACTCTCATGACGATATGCACTTTTGAACCACTGAATTTCATACTGATAATACCTCTGTATGCACAGTCCTTTGGGGTGGGGGCGGGGGATCAAACACCCCAGGGTGTCATGATAACAGATGCCATTATCCACCTTGTGCCAACAAGGATTAGCATGAAGGGTATGTGATTTGAATCCATGGCACCTCGAATCCTGGAGAAACATCTGCTTCCCTTATAATATAGCACTTAGAAATTACAGCAGGAAAAACCCCCACACCTGAAAGAGAGCTGGGTATGGAGTTTTGAAGTTTTTCTGTGCAGAAGCCTGCTCTGGACTTCCTCGAACAGAGCACAACTGCCCTGCTGCTTTCTCAGATGGCTGTAGGTGGCACGTCTGTGTCTATCGCAGAGATGACATTTTGCTGGTCACCCTACAGCCTGACCGGGCTCGATGTCAAAGCACGGCATGCCATTAAAGTGTGGTCCACATGCAGAAGAGTAATACAAGTCCTATCTCAGTAATATATGTATAAATGAAATGTATGTGACGTATGGATATACAGTGCTATAAATATTTATGATAAAATAAATAGTATTTTAATGTCTACAATTTTTTCATATAAAATTACAAGTGACTGCTATTATATAGGGTTTCCCTTCTTCACATTCCTGTTTTGAAGGAAAGTTCAGGGCACTGATCTATTACTCTAAAAAGGTTCTTTCTTTTCAAACCTTTTAGAGTACATGTTGTAATACGTAAAATGACAAAGTCATCTGTAACTAATAACAGCATCTGGTAAATGAGACAGACCGTCAGAGTTAAATTAAAAATATTCAGAATAGCCCTTCACGTTTTGTTGTCATAAAATTGTACCTGCAATTAAATTGTGGATTAAGATGCTAATGACCTACCTGATTTGCATGTGCAATCAGATTAGCATGTAAATACCAGCTTCTTGCAGGCACTAACATATATATGACTACCTGAGTGTGCCTGCAAATCAAAACGTTAGCAGCCAGGCCCACAATAGCAGATGTAAAGATCTGTTAATCACATTGCTGGCATGCTGGTACCCTTTAATTTGTGGCTTCCAGAACTGCTGAGTACTCCTAACTGCCGTGCAAGCAGCAGGTGCTTACCAGCAACTGCAGAATCTGGTTGAATGACCTTACAGAACATTAGGATTTTAGGGTTTTTTTTTGACATTCATCTCAAGGTGCTGGCTATGTCTGTGGGATCTGATCTGGGCATTTTTCTGATCCAGCTGAGGCAGTGGAAAAGGCTTCTGCTGGCTCTGTCCACTCACTCTGCCTTGGGTCGTTGTCCCTTGTCACAGTGCAACTGCAGGCTGTATATCCATGCCTGAATCACCACTGTTCACTGTCAGTACATCAGAAAAGCCAGCCAGTTCCTGGTTACAGTGATATGCTGGACTATAAAACCCAGCAGATGAGAATGTCTCTGAAAGATGTTGCTCTCGTACTTAAAGAGTTTATATCTCTTAGGTGCTCTAGATAAATCACAACTCGCAGTCCATTGCAGAGTGCTGCGATGGCAGTTCACGTAGACAGGCCTGCCCTAACTTTAAAAAACAGTTTGGGTAGCCCTCGTAACTGAGAACTCAAGACAAGCTAAACTCATTATTTTCGCTCAGCAGCTCTGGCATGTTTTGCAGCCTGCATATGTCATTAGGGCTCAGTTGCCAGCAGTGCCCAAAGCCGCCAGCACGACGTTGACGTAAAGACTACACGCCATACGAACGCAGCAGAGGCTGAACGTAACTCTGATCCATGAGCCTCTGCAGAGACTCTGGGGTAGGGGCACACAGGCTAAACCTGAAATTAATTAAAACTCAACTAGGTTCAGTCTTAAAGATTCAAACCAAAGCTCTAAACTTTGGGCAGAACCATATTAAGCAGAAGAAGCAAACCCTCCCACTCCCCAAAACATAATCACCCTGTTGAGAAGATGAACTGATTTGCTTTTGTTTCACAAGAATATTTGGGAAGTATTCAAAACCTAGTCAGCTCTGAAAGCTGATACATATTTAACAAAATTAATAGGTCCTGAGGCTGAGCAAACTTCAGCCAAACGGCTTTTAAAATGAAGGTCAGCAGTTCTAAAAATGAATCTGCTGGGAGAGAAGAGTTCAGAGAACCTTATAGGAACCAAATTTCACATTGTCTTAGCTGGCACTGTAACAGATTTCTCTGGTGATATATTCAGCATTTCTTGTGATGTCTGTATAAGCTGCTCTGTCTGTTTCTCTAGTTACAGACTTATTTATTTTTTTTATTTCATGACCCAGAGCACATGGCCTGAAATAGATTTTTAATTATTTCAGGAAAGGGCTGTCATTTTTTTTATTCTGGAATTTGCTTTTTTTTTCACTCAATTAAACATCATTTTAAGCTAACTGTGAAAGGCCAACTAAGACATTACCATTTAACATCCTGAGACCGTCACCTGATGTGGCCTGTTTAAGCGCCTGTTCCACTTGTTCTCTTCTCTTTGATTCGAATTCCAAAGCTTCCTGCAATTTTCTCTTTGCCTTTTTCTCTTTCTTCAAGCGTTTCTGAATTGTTGCTGAAACGTAAATATATTGTAAGAATGGCTGTTAAAGCATAATTAATATATAATGGAGACGGTAAATGAGTTTTTGTTCAATATTCAAGGGCCCAGTTCTAGCTGGAGGAAAAAAAAAAATCTGACATGAATCTGATATAGAATGAAAAAAAGCCCCAAACCATATCCTGTAGTGAAACAGTGAAAAAGCTGAAAGGGCTTTAGATCATGTTAAAGATCCTAAATCTTATTCTCAGTCTGGAAGAGCCCCATGGATTTAAGTCTCCTGACCAGAACCTACAAGTCTCAGAACCAGTCCAGCAGTTCGTGTTACACACTTCACCAGTCTGGACTAAATTCCAGCTACAGTTCTGCAGTTTGGTCGGGCAGATCATTGGCTTAAACTAATTTCTTGCAACAACAGCAACATACATCCTCAAAATTAAATAATAAAATTAAATAAATCTCTCACCCTTCATTCTTTTCCTTTAATGCTGAGAATCATATTGCACCCTCCTCCCCCAGTAGTTCTATATAGAAAGACAATCCAAACACGCTGGTCGTGTCTCCCCTGGCCACTCCTCATGGGTAGAGGAAGTCTTCTGAATGTGTCAGAGATTTGGTTTCAGTCATGTTTTCTAACATGAAAAGGAAATGAACTTTATTTCTGCAAGTGAACTGCCTGTGTGCAGTGCTGGAGAACGTGAAGTGTCAGTAGCAACGGTGTACAGAGTGAAACCCCGTGGAACTAGGGGGTGATTTTTTTGGTAAGAGGGGAGCTGCAGTTGGGTGAATTCTGAAGCAGAACAACTGAAATAACAAAAAACCCTGCCCAAGACAGAAGCCTGGTGTAAGGCTACTGAGAAGCTGGGTTAAGCAGGGACGTACTCAAATGAACGACCAAATGCTTAGAGAAGGGGTACGTACGGAGTAACACGAGTACTTTCACACTCCATCACTAGTGGGAGACAAAAAGGGAAAGCCAAAGAAAGGAGAGAAACAAAAAAACATTGGGTATATGTTGAGAGTCTCAGAGAGAAATTAAAAGGGAACTTCCCAGGTAGAAAGCAGGTTGAAAACAAGTATTTTCTCTTCATTAGCAATTTCTCCTTCTAACTGAAGCACTCTACGAAATGCTGTACAGTAGCTGCCTGTTTGGACTTAAAACAGGTACCAGTGCAACAACACAGTGCTGCTGCACAGCTGGAGCTCAATGCACTTCAGAGTCAGCTTTTCCTCCCTCTTCTGCAGATGGAAAGCAGCAGCAGGGCCTTGACAAAGATCATCCACAGGCCACTGGTACTGCTGTGTAAGATTTGGCAGAAAACAGAAGTATTCCTGACTAATCTCAGTCTTAAACCCAACTATAAATAAAGTTAACGCTGTAACTAGAGAACTGTACAGTATTAATTGTAGCCAGATGATTAAGATCTTCACTGGGAACTGCTGCATTGCCTACAATTGTATTCCCTCACCTATACAAATTCAAGCAATAAAATGCACCTTTTCAGCCTTTTCCTTTTCAAACCCTGAATCTTAATCTGCATTTAACCTTATTTTTCACTAATACCAGTTGCCATTACTTGGGCCAGAACTACATCTAAAATATCTACCTCTACCAACAACAACCCTTCCTGTGCTCCTGCTGGTTAACAGACTGTCCTCATTATCCTTATTAAACTCTCTTTAATGGGCTCTTACACTTGATTTTTCACCAGTGCTGCAAGAATACTCTCTTCTTTGCATGACCTGCACTTCCCTTTCCTGGTTTAGACTGCTGGGTAGGATCTCTACAGTCCCACCAACGCACTTCTGCTGAGTGTGCCCTGCAGCCAGCATACACTCTCCTCCTGGGTGCAGCTCTTGTTCCAGGAAATCTGCCATCAGCTGGCACGTCTGACTGGCATGAAGAACATCAGTTGGACCGGAGGCTGATGCCCTCGTACCTGCTCAGAACCAGCAGGAGAACATTTTTTAGCAAGCTCTGGAAGAGGTCCAAGACCCCTTCCACAGCACACCCCAGCTCGTACGAAAGCGCTGTGTTTCTACACCCCATCGCAGCTTGTGCAGAGGGGCACAAGATGCTTTTGCAAAGTGCTGCTGCTCCAGTTCACGTGTGGAGTCAAATTCCACAGAGCAGTGGGATTCATTACGGAATCAAACAAATGGAGAAGTGATGGCATTACAAAAGGTGGGTAAAACTAACAGACTAAAAAAAATTTGAGCTTAAACAGAAAAGCCCTTTTAAATTTACCATCTATTTTAGAGTCAAGTTTGCTAGCGTGTACGCTCTGGCAAATACTGTTAAAATGAAAGTTGAATTTATGCAAGCAGTATTGTGCAATCCCTTTTACTTATTTGCTTTCCTGTATATTAGATACCTGTGAATTTCAAATCACAAAATATTATTAGAAAATTTACTAAAAAACCTGGAAAAATTCTGGGAAAATTCACAGTATTTACATAACTTTTTCTGACCACTTCTTCTTCTAAATTCTTATTGCCTTTTACAGATCTTTCTGGATTTCTGAATGCTCCAGCCAGGAGTAAAAAAAAAGAATACTGTTACATGGGAAATCTCCAAGACACTTAATAAATTATGACTGTCAAAATGTGATCTGCAGAATGTAACTTTGGAAAATCGAGCAACCCATGTGAAAAAGCCTATCTCTGACTTTCTATAAGAATAAAGATGTGCATATGGTGATGACCTGAAAGACAAACAGTTCCGAGGATATTGATTATTGGTGAAATTTTCTTTTGAGCCAGAAGTCTGTGAATGGCTTAAGGTTTCTGTTGACTTAAATGTGACTCGGGAGGTGCATGGTGTGCTGTCTGCCTACACAGAGGTAAGTATTTACAGAAATACAGCAGTCTCATCCACACTTAGACTGGGGTGAAGCAACATTTCTGAACCCCACTGCAATTTAACGACTTCCATAGTATTTACTGACCCTTCACAACTTGCCTTAGAAGTGCCCTTCTTTGTGGCCTCTTATGGAGACTTGGCGCTGCAGACAGCTCTGTTCTGAACGCCTGATTTCAATCCAAAACGTGCAGGAAGACAGCACTTGGCACCTACATTTTGGGTCTTATCTAGCTTTATCTTTCTCATTTCATGGATGTAATCTAGAAGTAGCTTTTGGCACATAAGGTACTATTCCTCTCCTTTAGATGTAGATTTGAATTTTAAAAGGACTACTGCCTTCTTTGCAATATCACAGCGAAAAAATCAGATTTATCAATTTAATTGCCTATTAGTATCAAAAGCTTCTAAACGGTCATGGTTTTGTCTTAGAAGGCCCCAGATGGGGAGTGCCTATTGTACCTCCCTCTCCTGACGGAAAAAAAAAAATAAATTATCTAGGGTTATTTGCTTCAGATCTTGCACTTGGGTAGACAGCTTCTCGTAGTTCTGTCTGTTTTCTTGCCCTGAAGTTATGTACAAGAAAAACCAGCTGACTGGCACCTACGCTGCAGAAATGTGGGCTAGGTAAGTAGTAAGGCATGCAAAAAAATCACCTGAATACCCAAACTACAGACATACTATATTTATCACAGTAAGACTGATCCTCCATGCTTGGAGAAAAACAGTAGGAAACAAAAGAAATTCAAGCTGTCAAATGAAGAGATGGGGCTGGGAATACCCAGGCGGAGCGCTAACAACACATGTGAAAGCCATGAAACTGAATCAACTTTCCATCACAGAACCAGCCAAAACTCTCGGCGGCCAGTTGCCCTCCAGGAAATAATCCTTCAGCCACTGCTCTGTCTGCTTACAGAAAAGTGTGCTTCATTCTGTTTTTATTAAATTTAAATCTTTCATTACCAGTGCTGGTCCATGGCTGCATTACACTGAAGTATGGATGTCAGTTAACTCCGAGTCCTCAATAGCTCCAGCTGGAAATGCCAAAGGGTTATACATTTAATAGATATCTAAACTCCATTTTTCATTCACTCACCTCTGCTTTGCAGCTCAGCTGTGAGTTGCCTTTCCAAGCTCTCTCTGAGTTCTCTCTCCCTACAAAGCTCCATCTTTAACTCTTTCTTTTCCTGCTGTATCTGCTTTTCCTGGACTCTCGCATTGTCCACAGCCACTTTCAGTAGGCCCTAAAACACACACAAATGTAAGATCTGAAAAGATCAGTTTGTTTCAGGAGCAACAAAATTCATCCACTTGTTTCTTTGGAACCTTCTAGGAAAGCAGAAAAATTACAAGTAGGAACCTATGCACCTGCAATGCAACTGGGATGTTATTTATGAGCAGTTTTGTGGCACGGAGTCATTCAGTACAGTTTTTGCTAATTCATCCTACTGATGTGGTTTATTACAAACGGAGTGCCAGATCATTGCTGACCTCGGTCAACTGCAGGGAGAAGCAAAGGAGCAAAAACGAGACTGGGGGATTTTAGTACGACCACTATTGCCAACTATTAAGGCAAATAGACAATGTCTGAAACTCTTTCACGATCAATAATGCCAGACAGGGGAAACCTAAGCATTACATTAAATAAAAAAAAAATCAGAGTTGCAGATACAAAATAGTTTCTGAAACTTTTTTAAAGAGATTGAGAAAGAAACACATTTTATCTATCATGCATAGCCTGGCCTTACAGAGAATAATTTACCTGAATGTTGGTTAATAGTGTTTCTACTGATGAAAGACCATCAGCAAAAAGAAACGGCGCCGGAAATCCAGGAGGCAAGGCCTGTCCAGCCAGTTGGACCTTATCTAAGGTCGGTTTCATTATGGGAATGGCAATTTGGACCTCTTCTGTAAAGACAGGTTTGAAAGCAACATCAGAAAGCACTGGAAATGCAGGTAAGTGTCATGTCTAGAAACTAGCATTCTAGTTACCTGGAAGTCAAAATACAAGTACGTTAGTAAAATTGACCTTGTTTCAGTCTTTGGACAGCTGTGATTGTTGCAAAGGTAAGTTTGAGAAATAGGACAGATAATAACAAATATCCTGAAGACTACAACATAGCTGTATAGAGCAAAGAGTATTCTGTCTCAAATTGGACAGAATTTTACTACAGAATTATAACAGCATTACGCAGTTCATTAAACCTGACTGACCTTTCTTCATTCCGTCATCTTTGCCAGCTTGTGATGCGCATTCTTTGCTACTATAACCTTGACAAACTCTAATCAAGAAACGTATCACATCTCTTTCCTCCTTTAACGTTATCCTTCCCGTGCTGAGCAGTAAATAATCTCCACTGAGTCATCCCCTCCTGCTCCGTGAGCACCAACTCCACGTTGTCAGTAAAGTGTCAGCACGGGTTTTCTTAACGAGTACCTTGCTACTGTCAGCCTTTCTAGTCGCAGGCAGCAGCCAAAAACGCTCTGCTGAGTTATCTCTAGTGGTGGGACGAAGAGAGGTGGGTGGCAGGGGGGCACTGGAGGCCGGGGAGGAGAGGGTGCTCCGGCACAGCGCCGCGGTCCCGCGATTTACTGCACACAACTGGATTGATGCATCTCTTACGAATTGTAGAATCAGGGCCCGGTAGCTTCCCCTTCACTCGCCGTCTCAAATAGATCATGTTGTTAGAGATCAAGCTGTGCACAGACAGCAGAAACGTGTATTCGCAGAGAAACGACGTTAGTAATTATTTTTTGAAAATCCTTTAAATTTTGTGATGAATCAGGGCTATCACTGACGAACTCACATTTTCCAATAGGATAATTTAAACATATTTTAGGATAGTAAATGCTTCTCCTTCTCTCAGATCCCTGTGAGTACTCTTTCCCCACATATTCATTTTAAACATCAAATTAATTGGCTGAAACCCACAAACTTAAAATCTGCTAGCAGTCTTTAAAGCCAAGCTCTGTACCTTTCTTTTACTCTGAAACGTTAAAAAAATATTTCTATGTAATACTCCAGAGAAATCCGGTCTATATATATGATGTTCCTGCACTTGCAGAAATCATGGAGAATATCTTCCCAGCAATTGCTTTTTAGTAAAGCTTGCAACCAACGTATTGACCAGCAGTTCACGACGCGTGTGTTTTCTAAAGGCAACTGCACAGCCAGTCTGATAGTTTCATTTGTCAAGTGCCTTGGTCATATCAAAGCCAGCATTTGCAATTAGACCATATTCAGAAGGCCTCCTTCTCCCACCTCCCATTAAAAAAAGCCAACCCACAACTCCGAAAGAATCTGACAAAAAGGAATTAAACCACAGTGTCTCTACAGCAGTGCTACTAGTATGTAGTCTAACAAACTCCAGGAGCATCTACTGAGCAGCAAGCACTTGGTGCTGCGTTTCTGAAACACACCTACTGGCAGTGAACCAGGAGCATTAGCAGTTTTCAAGTATTCTTTGAAATCTCTGTTTAGGCAGTATTTTGTTTTCACAGGGTGAGTTCATTAAATGGAACATCTTCATAATGATTCTTCAGGACTAATAACGTCAAAAGCCAAAAACCTCTAAAAATCTTCGTAGCTATCATTTTAGAGCTGTGTTCATGTAATTTAAATGATCTGTTTGAAAATAAAAAAAGAACTCTGGTAACAGACCACATGTTCGTGCTGATTCAGATGCGCCATTTATCATATTTAAATATCTTATATCAGTGACAGAGTTTTAAAAATAAATTGACTAGTTGTTGCATGTGATGCTGCACAGAAATAACACCTAAGGCACAGAGTCACAAAAGACTAAACAGAAGTGGCATTTGAAAAAGAAAGTAATACATGAAGTATGCATAACAGACCTACAGCTGCTTTAAAATCTCTAGAAATCGCTACTATTTGGAGATGAAAGTAGTAACATTAAATTGGCCGAAAGGAAAATGACTATTGACTGCGAAGACAGGTTGCACGGTCTACGGTTTGTAATGTTACCGTACCGCAGATTGAAGTTTCAAAATAGTATTACTCTTCTTTAAAGAGAGAGACACAGCTAAATTAGGTGCTGCTTGCTACAGTGAGGATCAAATGCAAAAAGAATCATATTTCATCAGACCTAGTCAACACCAGGAAAATAAATAGAAATATAAGAGGCATGCAGGCAATGATTCATTTTGATAATCTGGCCCAAGAGAGACACATAGAGACAGCACACAGATCTAAGCTTCTACCAAAAGACAAATAGGACACAGAGGGTGGGAATTGGGATGACAGTGTAGCAGAGGTCACATCGATTTTCAGCAGCAGTTTTCACACAGATGAGATAACCCTGGACTCTATTTGGCCCATTGTTCATATCCTACCTGTCCCAGAAGCAATAAATTTCCAAGTCCCAGAAAAAGGGCAGTAAAGAAGAAGGATTCTACTTATGACTTCTTATGATTAAGTTTTTGTGCTAACCAAACATGCTTTGCAGACCAAGGTCACATTGCATGTTAAAGTCTGTAATAGCTGAAAACTAGAAGCTGCATATTATGTTTTAGCGTATATGGGTGGAAACTGTCAAACCATTCATCATTTTTTTTTTTCTGATTGAAATCACACTCTGCAAAGATGAATGATAAATGCATTAGAAATCTATTTCAATCTTGTAATAGGTCTTCACATCTGAATGGTGTCTACGTCTTGCCCATATTCTGAATAAGTGCACAGTTAGGCAGAAATTTATTAGCTAGACTGGAGAAATCATAATTGGTAAAGCAATTAAAAACGGCGTGTGTTGGAAGCATTTTTTTGTGGACTGTATCAAATGCATCTCTTCAATAGAAAAAAAAAAGATGGTGATTTAAGCATTTTGATTTTAAAGAACACTAAAATTTTAAAGAACGCTAAAAGCTGCACTCACACATACGTTTAAGCATTTTGATTTTAAAGAACACTAAAAATATAAACGCTAAAAGCTGCACTCACACATACAGTACAACAGAATAAGCAAGAAATAAAGCTAGGACAACTACAATCTAACCAAGGACACAAACAACCTTTCTATTTATTGAAGCAAAGTGGGAACTACTTTTATGGAGCTTGTTTGTTAAACCTGCCATGCTTTATAATAGCATTCAGGAATCCATTTAGAGTGCAGTCTTTTTATTTTAATTTCTAGCTGGCATCCAGATGAATAGACGAAAGCAAGAATTATATTGCAGAGGAAAGAAATACACAGTAAACACTAACAGTGAATGGAATATTATCCCAGCAAAGCACGTGGAAATCTGCTAGAAAGTTTCTTGTTCTTAATTCAATATACTAAAGTGTTTCACCTGCTGTCTTCTGCCTAAGTTGCAGAAACAGGGATTGGAAAATGAAGCATCAACCTACGGACTAAACGCAGCACGGGGAACGCAAGTAACGGGAATTGCTCCCGGCGTGACAGTGCATGGCCCAAACCAACAGGCAATTTTATTTGCCAGCTGGTTTATATCCTTTCAGAAGCCACGTTTTTAAATCCATCATTCATATACCTGATACACTTGACATGTCACGTCCCTCTCAAAACAAGGCAGAAATATTAAAGCTACAATTTACGTCTCGCCTCACCCCAGTTAGACCACCAAGTTATTTCTTACTATCTGGAGCTGCATAAGCATTGATCACCTCTAATAGCTTGCAGAATATAACTCATGCATAAAATAAATATGAGGCATACGGAGAAGAGAGTAACAATTTATATTAAATTTATAGTCATTAATCTGTTACTTACTAATCAAGACATCTGATCTCAGAAAGCCTTCATTCAGCATTTCTTATTGAAAGTTTTGGACATGGATGGCATCTGGGTCACTCCTTTTCCATGCCTGTGCCATACAATTTAGAAAACTAAGGACTAAACGGGTTTATCACAATTACAATTCTTTGAGCTTCATATTTGAGTGATGGGGATTACATTTAATGGTCCATAGTTACAAAAGAACAGCCCAGACAATCTACTGGACCTTTCTGACCTTTAATAATATAAAACAGAGGATTTGCAACACCAGTACATGCTACTCATCTCTGAAACTAAGATGCTACATTTTTATTTGAAATAGCATTATTTGCCCAAAGATCTTACAGAATCATCCAAACCAATATACCTGTGTAGGGGCAAGAGGTCCCTTGATCTCCAGTTGTATATCTACTTCACAACAACAGTGACAGGCAGGAGTGTCCAAACATGAGTATTTTGAGAGAATTAGGGCCCAAATTCTAATTTTTGACTGCAAAAAACAGTTTGCCAAAAAAGTGAGACTTCTTATTTTCATTTTAAACCTTGGCAACTTCTGTGTTGCTTAACTATAAACTAGCAGAATTTTTGTCTTTTACAGTAAGTATGAAAATCCTTTAATCTGGAGCATTGTTTATTTCAAATATTTTGCACCTGTAAGTCTGCAAGGACAGGGTTATCTGTCTTCAGTGTCTTAATAACTCTGGAATTCCTCCATAAGCCTCTGCCTGCCTTTTTCTGCCTCACTCACTGCTTCTCTGCCAGGAGCTGCGCGCTCCCGTTCATCAGTGAGAACAGAGATACCTCCCCCTAACCCGGCACCAATCAGACTCAGAAATTTACTGCTTTAACCTTGTGATTCAGGTGCCAAATTTAAAGTCACTGCTGTTTTTCTTAATTACAGTCCCTGAATGAACAGGGTCAATGAATGCAATTGGGGAGTAGCTGATTAATCCAGTGCACGAGCTCTAAATCAGACTTTATTTCATTTTCCAACGATTGATACAACTTGATAGCACACCAGCATTTTTTACTACTGAGCTTTGCCATAAAGAAACATCACTTTTAAAATAGTATCTAATCATTATATACACATTTCCAGGCTTCCTGAAAAGCTTGTGGAAACTATCACAAAGCAGTAACATCACCTGC